TTGTACTCAATAATTGAAGTATTTGGAAAACTTTTATGGGCTAAATGCTACCCAAAGCATATGGTACATCCCAGATCTTACTACTCTCATCCTTCTCCTTTCTTTTTCAAATTCCATGTAGGTGCCCCAGCTATAGCCACACTGCCACCCCTTGCTTACGTGCCAACCGAAAGTCAGCTCCCAGAACTGAATACTAAAAGCCTAAAATCTGACAGTTTTTCCAGCTTTGTATACACTACTGAAAATAACAAGACCGCAAACCAATTGGTTATTCCATAGTACTTCTACATCAGTAGCAAAACACTTATTCCAGGTCAAAAGTGGTACTTTTTCAATTCAAATTCTAATCGGTTCACCAAAGATCCCAAGCTAGGCATCATGTCCATTATTGTCAGCAACAGGTTTGCAGGAACCCTTCAAAAAAATTAAAAAAAAAAGGACAACAATTACCTGTCTGAGAGGCCTCAAAAATGCAGGAGTTGATGAACTGAAACGAAGAAAAGTAGTTCCCACAAAAACACCACCACTTCGCAAGATACGATTGATTTCAGCAACCTGACATAAGAAAGGCAAGGAAATTGCAACTGTACATTATTTCAAATATTCTTATCAAATAAAAGGATCACCCTCAATATGGCTAAATCACCAATCAGATATATCCAATTCACCTCAAAGGCATCTAGAAACTTTTGACTACTAATTTTCTAGAGTCGATTCTACACTCTTTGAGTAAATAAAATAATGGACCAGCTAAATCAGGAAAAATGCAATAAAAATCATATCTAGAACATTGAAAGCAATTTGAGACACTCCAAATACAAAGAAAGCTTACAGCATTAGAAGGAGATGGCCAACAATGCAAGGCTGCACCAGCATGAACGCCATCAACTGAACCAGAAGGAAAGGGGAGTCGGGAGATATCTGCCCTTACGAGAGCAAGATTGCTGCAGGTTTTTCAAACAGAATAGCTTCAGAAAATACAGATCTCTAACCAAAATTTTACATGCCTATAAAGCGTGAAGCACAATAATTCATATCCCAGAACCTGCAGCAGCTGCAAAGAGCATTTAATCAAAGTGACTTACGAGTTTAACATAGAATCGTCACTCTTGATAAAATCATAACACTGGAGAAGCATGTTTTCTGAAAAGTCAAGAGCAACAACTTTTGAATAGGTCCCCGATTTGGCAAACTTCCTGGAAAACAAGCCACTTCCACAGCTAACATCTACAAGAACACCGCCTTCTACAGGTTGAAAATACTCCTGCGCCATCTTGAACTGCATGGAATGTATCACACGCATAATTACCACTGTTATTGTTCCACAAATATTTTTGCAACTTTAATCCACGCAAACTAAGTCGAGGGCATGCACATTCAATTTAACAAAAATGATTTCTTTGTCAACACATGTTGGTCACAGTGGATGCATGATAAAAGCCAGCCCTGACACATGATTCCAAGTAAGTCTTCAGCAGGAAGAAGGATAGATAGGGCGTTTGCTGGTTCTCTTCTAGTTTGAGGTCGAAATGCTAAGTTTCTTGTGCTTCCTATCCAAAGAGGTCGCAAATGGTATAGCTCCCAGACACAGTTGAGCTTTTGCCCTGTAAGCCACTGGACTTGTTTACAGTGTTCTTATGATTTCCCTGTAAGCCACTTGATCCAAAAGGGAATTCGCCTTCTTTGGCACATAGGTCAGAAAGGGAAAGAAGGATAATCCAACAATGTTTCACATAATTAAAATGCTTCCTCAGAACTGTACCCATGATACTTGTAGCTCATTCATTCAGCACTTATGGACACAATTAGAAGTCAATTTAAGTAGGAATTTTCCAGAATATATTAAGTGATTTTAATGGACTAAACCTTTCCTCACCAACCTCTCCAGTGACTTACAAAACTACTTATGTTTTCGACAGAAGGGAACACACATCAATTCTCCTTCATAAGGTGGGGTATGCATTTGGCTCCCATTGATTCCTAAATTGACACCATACTTTCTTATAGAGAATCTACTCCAAAGAGCTCATTACCTATTGGGAAATATCTGTAAAGTAACAATCAAAGAAAATTTACCTCATCATCAGGCCCAGGAAAACCACTACGATTAAAATTTTGACGCCAGCCTCTCTCATACAAGAAGGAAACAAGAGGGCTCCTAGTGAAGGCAAGAACACCAACATTAGACATGAGTGACTCATAAACCAATGTTAAGTTTCAAAAGGAACGTTCGCATCTTTTGATGAAGTGGCTACCAAATAGCGAAAATCACAAGCCCATCAATAAGGGGAGTTAGTTCCAAACCAACAAAAGACACTAAAGTGTAGACTGCAAGCATGTTATAGAAAGCTCAGCATGCAACTCAAAGAGATGGTAACATATGCATACCTAAATAGCTCAGTTCCAGCTGGTTTAAATTCATTGTAATCCTTTGAACCAGCAGTAACTGTAAGATCAAGATAGATATTTTTGCTTGAATACGTCTTGTTACACGTTCTACATTTAAAACCAGATCTATAAATTGCAGGCCTGCAAATATTCAGCTTTTGAAAGTTATCATGCATAAAACATATAATGTGTCCAAAGTATTAGTATAAAAGAGGCATTAGATCTTACAGGTTAAATCCTGAAGGACCTTTTCTTACTAATGGATCATAGCAAATTGGGCAGGCAAACAAGTCAATTTTTGAGCCCTCCTTTGATTCAATTTGTGCTTCCTGAAGTAGAAAAGTACGCTATTAGGGAGAGACAGAAAATGGGACATTTGCATCTCTTCTTCGTTCTGCCAGATCAAAATCAAAAAGTATACCCAACATTTGCCCTGCAACTTCCCAAGTCATCACTTAAGACAATGGCAAAATTGATTGACCCCCTTGGAATTACAAAATTTACATAATTTATACACATATTGTTAAACAGATATTAACAGATGCTCCAAAAAAAAAAAACTTTTGAGACAGTTATGAACGCAATAAGTGCAAGCACCCACCTTCATCCTGGGACAAAGACTGTTGCATAGCGAAATGCATGGAAGATCACTAGACACTTTATAGGCAAATTTACATGAATGAAGAACTAGGATTCACTTCTGAACACAACGGCAAGTCTCCCTAGAATTTCTGAACGCAACAAAGTTATTCATAGTCTGCATTGCAGCAATTACATTCTTTTTTCTCCGCGTTAAATCGTCATACAATTAGAAAAAGATTTTCCACGTTTAAATGGTATAAATTTTGAAACACGATTGATACAGAAAGCAAAACAAGTCCATGAATGAATAGCATAATTTTCCAAAAGTATAGTCGGGTAAAGGAATGGGACGATAACTAAGCACCGAATAAACTCGAGATAATTTTTTCCCATATATTTTCTTTTCTTTGGCCCCCTTCAAAATCATTTCCCTGCAAGATATCCTTGTGAAAATTAACAGTAGTTAAAACACTGGGCATCAAATTTCAGTAGCTCCTAAAGCATCCAAGAGAGTGTAAATCAAACAAATGTACATAATAATTCTAGTATTTGTTAGGGAAGGAAGGACAAGAAATATTTACTGGTTCAAGAGCAACAGCAGAGGTGGCCCGGATAATTTGTCGAAACTGTTGAGGGGAGGAGCACCGGAGAGGAGGATGAGACAGGGAATTATAAGGAAAAAAAGGGCATTTCGGGTCTAAAGGAAAACGATCTTGAACTCCAATCATCCAAGGCGAAAAAGCCACGGCTGCCATCTCAATAATCTTCTTCTTCTTCTTTTCAGTAATTTCTTCTTTGTTCTTTTGAAAAATGAGTGATTTCGTTTCTTCTGCTTCTCAAATCATGTGCTTTCTTCTTTGTTCTTTCTGTTTGCTTCTCGACGTTTATTGGTGGCAGTATTATATAGGTATATAGACAAGGCTATATATAAGGGGGATTTCAAGAGGAAGAGGGGAAGGGGAGGGAAATTTTTGTGATAATTTTGTTGCATTATTTTTTGCGGGATTTCTTTGCGTGGACAGAGGAGGGATGCATCTGTCAGCTCTGCTGCCCGTGTGACTGTGTGTTTAGTTGGTGAACTTGAGGATACCTTCTCGCCGCATCATTATTATTTCAATATGGGAATTTTTCTTTCTTTTTCTTTTTTGTTTTTCTCTTTAAATACGGTGTCTTAACTCTTAAGGAGAAACTCCTATCCTGGAATCTGAACTACAAAATTAAAAAAGAAAAAAAAGGTCCAAATATTTACTAAACCCGGCCCTGCAAGGGAAATCCAATCTCAACAAGTCACTGGTTCGACCAGTGGGTCACTAGTTGAACCGGCAGTTACTAATTTAATATTTATAAATATAAAATAATAATTTAAATATATATAAAATAGTTAATAAAGTGCTATTAAATACTAATTATTGTACTTAAAAAGATATATAATGAACATACAAATATTAATAGAAGATTTAATTTTATTTTGTGGTACTTTTACATAAATAAATAACATAGTCAAATACAAAACAAATTTGTGTCACTTGTTTTAAAGATATAGCATCATTTTTTTATTATTTTATCTTTGTTTGAAAATAAAATAATTTTGTAGCTACTCAAATATTGTCAGTTTGACAGTTAAAAGAATTCATTGTATAATAAAAAAGTAAACAAGCTTTTTTTTAAAAAAATGTAATTATCAAATAAAAACTAAAACAAGTGATAAGACTTGTGTACATTTAAATGAATATTCAATTTATAAATATTGTCAAAAGTATTTATACACTTTGTTTCAAAAAACAAAGGCCTACAATTGTATTATAGAAAAAAAAAATTCAATCGGAAAACTGAATGATTTCCTAGTGGGTCAAAGTCAACTCCTAATTTGATTAACCTAGAGATCCAATCTGGCCTAATGCCGAATCACCGGACCGATTAAGTCAACTATTGGGCTGGGCCAAAGTTAATAATCTACGGTCCAATCCCAGGTTTAGGTAAATACTAAATCGGGAAATATGGAGTAAGAAAATTTTAAATGAGCCAAAATGTAAAAGGTTGCAAAAGTCACACTTTGATTGTACTCAAAACACAAATTATTTTCAAGTAAATGGTACTAATTTAAGATATTGTTGAACGAATGCGAATGGAAGTTTTTTTTTTTTTGGTATGGAAGAAGATATTGTTGCACAACCCAATCAACAAAACAACTTTATCCAACGATGCAAAATGTTCTTCATTTAAGACCGAGGATTAAGTTCCGCGTAATCAGCTGGTCCGTATGGTTCAATCAACTCTGAGAAGAATCCCTTCTTTCTCCTGGGGTTGCATCCAATGTCCTTGCACAATTGATCGTTGTACCATATGTGCGAAGCACCAAGACAAGATCTTCTGTAGTACTTGCCAGCATAACGCTTCATGTACTTGTCCCACATGCGAACATCCTTCTCCATTTCCTTTATGCTCGGCAATTGAAAGGTTTGATCAAGAAAATGTCCCAGCCATCTGCATTTCATTTCGAGAGTGTAAAGGTTGTTCAGGCTCTCTGAGTATCCTATCACTGCAAGTTGTGGAATTCGCGGATGAATGATCTGCCTGGAATACACATTTAAGGCCAATAATCAAAACCTTTAATTATTAGCAATAATTATGTGACGCCAAACTCGTATAAAATAGATAGTGTCACAACGTCAAAAGTAACAAATATAGATCTCAGAACATTGTGATGAGTTTACGGTTCCAAATTAAGTCCAGTAATAATACCTGTATAAAGCTATTGTGGAGCTTGTTGACCCTAAGATGTACTCCTGGAAAGATGGACAAGTGAAAATATTGCCGAGTTTCTGATCACCTCGGTATCCAGTGGCAAGAATTATAACGTCTGCTTTCAAGGGCTGAGTTTCTCCATCAATCATCAATCCTTCTCTGCTGAAGCTGATGTTTTTTGACTTCTTTAATACAATGCTTCCGTCTACCACTCTGTCAAAGAAATTTTCTGGTAGCATGAGGAATTCACAAGAAAACACATCTTGCAGAAAGCCATGTGGTGGTATCATGTTGTACTTCTTCAAGGGAAATTTCCATCTGAGATAGCTCTCTACAAGTTTTGCAATACCCCATCTCTGAAATTCACATTTGTACGCCTTTTGAGTTATGCATTATATATATCGTTGTTTTGAATAAAGCATGTGAGGCATTTTTTTCTATAATTAATTAATTAAGAAGCTAACCAAAGGTGAGAGAAGGAAGGCTAATGCACTGTGTAGGAATCCTTCACCAGGCTTGTGCACCAAAATCTCTGCGAATCGATTGTAGTACAAGTAATCAATCCTCACTCCTCCCCATACATAGTAACTAGGAAGCATCCAGTGAGCTGCTCTATGAACCATTGTGCAAGGGTTGTCAATCCCTGGTGAGTAGCATGTCATATTTTAGTTAATTAAGCAATGCATGACTTTAAAATTGCTTTCATGTGCAACAAGAACTTTTTAGCGCATCTGAAAAGTGACCAAATGTATGCAAGAAAGATAAAAGTTCTATATCCGAGGAGGAAATCTCAAGAAGCAAAACATAAATCGCATCCAGGAAGGCCACTTTTTTTTTAAAAAACTTGATACATTATAATTTCGGGGTCAATGTGAAGAGATAGATAATTATCGAGTCACACTCATTCATGATACACTGCAATTTGCAATTTCTCACCATTTACATTTGCACATTGAGCAGCCAAGTCCACTGCAGATTTCTCTGAACCTATGATTGCAATGTTTTTTCCTTCGACCAATGCCGCAGCACTGGCATTGTCCATGGCCGAGTAGTCCATGGAATGCAACACCTTACCACCAAAAATTTCAGGACCATGATTTGGAGGGAATTCAGGGATGTTTGGCACACCACTGAATCTTCCAATACAAAGAATCACAAATTCCACCTCATATTCCTGGAAATTGAAATGACACGCTGAGAACCCTTATGAAGATAATGCCATCATTCAGACAACTTAATAAAGATTGATCTAAAAGGCTGACCCGCGTTGTTAAATCACCTTGAGATGGATTTTAAAAAATAAAAAATAAAAAAAAAGTGCCAAATTTTTTCTTCGGGCAAAGATCACAAAATTACCTTAATGGATTTGTCTTCAGTAGTGTGCTGAACTTTTATGTTCCATTTGCCTTTGGAGCCAAACGCCTGTCCTGTTCCACCCCAAAGATCCCAGGCCTGCATCTCTTCACGGGAAACGCCCACATAATCGATGCCAATCACTTTGGTGTTGAACTTGATGTAAGGTAACAAGCCAAAATGTTGAGCATAAGATTGAACGTACTTCAAGACTTCAGTGTTGCGAGGAAATGTTTCTTTAACAGAAGAGGGCCATGGGAAATCAGAAAACGAGAAAACTTCTTTGGGATTCTGAAGCTTAGTAGACTCAATGGTGTGATTCCACAGGCCACCAGCGCAGTCTTGTGCCTCGAAGACTGTCGGATGATAACCTTTTGCTAGAGCATACTTGCAGGCAAGCAGGCCGCTGATTCCAGCTCCGATGATAGCTATTCGTTTCTCCATTATTATTTGGTCAATTTTCGAAGGCAGAAAATGCAACGGGAGCTTTTTGTATTAGTAGGCATGCAACAGGAGCTTCTTGTATTAGTAGGCATGCAATGGGGCAACTGTATTAGTAGGCATGCAACTGTATTTATGACAGCACAACCGTTCAAGTTTACAGATCATAATTTCGCCTATGAATTTTTGGTGTCGGCAGCCTCAAAATTAGCAAATGCGACGTTGAGTTTTCTGCAGACAATTCTCTGACGGAAATAAAAGCCAGTAATTCGCAGACGATCTAGTTGTGGCATCTACGTACGGACAACTGCTGTATGCTATCATCATTGATTGCTTTCTTTTCTTTTTCTTTTTTTTTTGTCGCAGCTATTACCTTTTTTGGTCTAATCTAGAGAGAGGAGGAGAGGAGCCTAACCGACGTGGAACCCCATCGAAGGCAGCCATGTTCAAGTGACAGTCACAATTAAGTGGTAAGTTAGGGATAAGAGCCCAAGAGGCAATTGGCATTATTGATTGCTTTCGGGTAAAGTAAAATCTACGTTGACAAATCTCTCAAAATTCTTCCTATAAAGAAGTTATGAATTTAAAAAATGGATGTATTTGATTGGAAGATAGAATTTTCAAGGGATAATTTTAGAAACCTTTTTTGAGATTTGTCATAATATCACTCAGCTCTCCTGAAATTTTTAAAATCTCACTTACCTCCTTGTCAACTTGACAAAACTAAATATTCCTATCAAACGTCACAAATTGACAACATTACCCTTGATCTTAATAACTATTTAACCTAAAATCCAAAACAAAATAAAATTTTAAAACAAAAAATGTAAATTAAAAAAGAAAACAAATTGTTAGTTAATAATGGTTTATATTTCATTACATTAGGGTCATAATGGGATAGCAAAGTACGTGGATAAATTAAATCTAATCAAGATCAATCACTTAGAAGGATTTTGGTGAATAATTAACACCTTAAACAATTTCGTGCACAGTTACAATTAAGGAAGTCAAGATATTTTTTTGGCGAAATATGTTTCAACTCATGGTATAGTTTAAGTTGTATTAAAAACTAAAATAATCTCTTCATGCGTATGAATTTTTCAAGGTGTAAATTTTGCTTTTATTCCAATACAAGTAAAATAAATAGTTTACATTAAGAAATTTATACCTTATAAAAATTTAACATTATTTTATTTTTTATTATTGTTATAAATTTCATAAGTATAACATAAGGGTAATATTGGAACAAAAGTTTTATCTTTCTTGTATTTCCTCCAAATAGGTTAAAATGTTATAAGAAATGTCAATTCAAGAGAGGTAAGTGAGATTTTAAAAATTTTAGGGGAGTTAAGTGATATTATGATAAATCTCAAGGATAGTTTCTGAAATTATACATATTTTCAATTGTGTTTTAGGAAGTAGAAATGGAGATTCTGTTTCTCTTACGTATTGCGTGGAATCATATGTACTACCGATTTATATACCCTTACAACAAAACAACTTTTAGGACAGCATTAACAAGATTTGATTTGGTCCGTATGCTCTGAACTGATTTGACCTCTTCATTAGTGCAGTTTGGTACTAGGCAACAGACAAGGGGCAGGGCATGACCGTCCTTGAACATTTAATGGTCATGATTTGACCAAAAAATTTTATACGATCCAGATCATAAATTGTGCATCGATTTTTATATCGTGTGTGGAGCCCGTAAAATTTTCGTAAAATTTTATACTAAAATTACACGTTGTGCAAATAAAATTACATCACGTGTAACAAAAATTACGCACGTTAAAAATGGTCAAAATCGCTGGAAACAACCGTCCGTGCCCCTTGTCCACTAGACAACTGCAGCAACTACCGTGTTTGTACATCTTTCCGTCTAGTCTACACGTTTAGGTTCGTTTGAATTAGCTGTCTCGGAGATATTTTTTTTTGGATCAGGCTCCGTTTTTGGGTGTTCGAAAAGACAACACGAATGATTTAGAAAGTAGGAGAAATATGAGTGTATCCACTCACTTCTTTAAATGTGGAAATTTATTCGTATCATTTTCTTAAACACATTAAATTTTAAAAAAGTAGGATTTTGACCAAGGCAGTAGACGTGAGACTCGTGCCGTGATCAAATTTGAAGCCTTTATTCAACATTGATAATATATTTAACCCCGATCAGATGAAACCCCAGAGCCCAACTTTTCTTTCTTTCTCTTTTTTATTTTTACTAGTAACAAAACACGTGAATATATTTTCCCAAGATATAAACCTTTAATATACTAAATCCCTGTATAAAACTTTGAGTTTTCCACCTGGTACAGTAAAGTATATAATAAACAAAATTAAGCAATTGGTAATTACTCAAAACATTTATTGTATACAAAACAATTAAAAGTTTATTGTACATTCTACCATTTTAAAAAAACTCTGAAAGTAAAAGATTATCATATTTAAACTAAGTTGTTGGTATAATATTGACTAAGAAACCATATAATAAACAACATTAAGCAATCGCTAGTTGTACATAATATTTATTATATGTAAAGCAATTAAAATTTTATTTTGTATATTACAATTACAAAAACTCTAATAATAGAAAATTATCATATCTAAACTAATGTTACATAATTTACTGAGATTGTAACAGTAAGAAAAGGAAATTTTATGTATGTGTCAAACCAGTGCATACAGCAAAACTTGAGTGAAAAATATACCAAAAATTCTGATTTAGATACAACAAATTTTTATCAATTTCAATAGTTGTAAACCTTTTCTGTTATATTTTTTATAATTATTGATAATTTTTTGGAGTTTTCTTAAACAATATGACATAATATAGTGAATTTAATCATCAATATAACCATTTATTATCTCATTAACTGTTTATAACCTTTTGTCTTCTTACTAATTGTGATTTTCTTCTAAACCAATATGCATGTAAAATATAGTTAACTTTAATAATCACACGTAACAATATAATAATTGGAGACAATTTTAACATTTATAATAATCGGAGATGAGGGAAATGATTGGTGAATATAATTATAAGTGGGAATTTTTTTATTTTAATTACTAACATTTTTTGGATATAATTTATTAAAGCTTTTCATTTTTCTTATATTGAAATGCAATAACTCTAATTAAAAGGCATGCAATAAAACCAATTAAAAGACATTAAGGTAAATTAGGTATAACAAAAACTAATATCAAACCTAGAATTTTGCATGTGCCTTTTTTTATTTATTGTGAAATTATACAAATATAAATAATTTAAATATAAAAATTAACAATATTTCTACATGTTCATTCATATTAATTTTAAAAATTAATGCAATTTAAATGTTTAACTATTTACTTACTTTTAAAAACTTTTTATTTATTGTAAATTTATACAAATACCACTAATTTAAATATAAAAATTAACAATAGTTCTACAGGTACATTAATATTAATTTTAAAAAATTAATGTATATTAAATGTTCAATTATTTACTAATTTTTAAAAATTTGTTTACATACTTTTACTATAATATGATAGTATAAATGGAATAATGTACCTCATATCAAAAACTTGGTAGATATTCCTTTTTTTTATAAATATTGTTTTAGATAATTTAAATTTTTATAATGATCATAAACCTAGAACTATATATTCATATTTAATTATGTAGAAAAAAGATCTAGCATTCCATTTTTCTTTGTCAATAAATATTCAGTTTTCAATAATATTGATAAATCTATCCGTGTAACAGTTAATTCTTTTTTTACACTAAGTTAATTCAAAATTAAGAGAAAAGACGATGAAAAATTTAAATACTAATCAATGATATGGTGGTGAAAATAAGTAATTTATGGGATATGTATGATTTCAATAATTGTGATTTAAGAAGGTTTTACTATAATTCTATACAATAACGTGGAAGAAAGCAGATATCATTAAGATAAGATTATGGTGATGAAAGAAAGTAATTTATGGGAATGTAAGATTTCAATAATTGTGATTTAAACGGGTTTTACTATACTTGTATGTAATAATTTGATAGAAAACAGATATCATTAAGATAAGATTGGTTATTTTTTAAAGCTATTTTAAAATTAAAGATGATTTTTAAATATATAATATAATCATTGTAATAATTTAATAGAAAGCAGCTATCATTAAGATAAGATTAGTTAAGATTAATTGTTGTTTAAAGTTATTTTAAAATAAAAGATAATTATAAACACACAATTTTTAAGCATAACCCGTTAATACTCTCCATACACTCTTACACTCCTTATTGTTAAAACTCATCATACTTTTTATATAGTAATGATAATGATTTTTTGGTCCCAGAGATGGCTAAATTAGCCCTAACAACCATCTGTAGATACAAAACGAGCGGTTGTTACCCCAAAAATGTCATTAGAAAGCAGCTTCCTAAAAGGATTAGGTGGTTCATGAAAGGAGATGAAGTCGCCCTCTGCTAAATGAGCAGCACAAAAATGGCCTTGGCGCCAAAGTATCTTGAACTTTGCAATGCCAATCTAGATTAAGCTGTACATGCGATGGATCGATCGATGAGATTGAAGCGCGGGCTTCCCTTTGTCCCCTTCCTTCACGAGGGAAATGCTCGTTGCAGAATCGGATTCCCAAAACCGTGCTTCTGTAACTTTCCTCGAATCTCTAATTACTCCTATGAAATTGCGTTGGCTGGTTTATCCAATATCGGGTCTAACGTTCGATTACATCGTCGAAAGTTTAACCGACGCAATTTGGTGGCCCAAATACGAAATTGTCTCCCAAATGATGATAAAGGACGACGAGGCCCACAAAAGTGGAAGAAGCAGCCCATGTAAGAAATTTACGAGTCCACGTAGTGGGAAAAATTCAGATGGGAGGCTCATTATGCTAAAGCTAAAAGTGGATAACAAAAGTGGTTTGCAAACACAAGGCCACAATAAAATGGAGATGGATAGGGAAAAGAAGGGAGATGGGGGTAGACTGAAACAGAAACAGACAAAAAAGTGCAAATGTCCCCAGTAGAATGCTGCTCTGAGTTATCCACGAGCGACGCACATTCTATTTTCCTTAGATAGCAGAGACACACAGCCATGGCTTCCATCAGACCTCTT